ACCATTCAGCATGCTATTAAATACCTAGAACCAGTCAGCATGCTATTATATATCCTGACCATTCAGCATGCTATTATAAAACTAGAAACATTCAGCATGCTATTATCTACCCTGAACCATGCAGCATATTTTTATATACCTATAATCACTTAGCATGCTATTATATACTCTGAACCATGTAACATGCTATTATATAACCTGGACCATGCAGCATATTATTATATACCCTAAATCAGGGGTAGGCAACGTACGGCACTCGAGGTGCCTTTGGACGGCACTCACGGCTTCAGATATCTGCTAATACAAAGAGGTGGTGAAGGACAATCTTCAATTTATGCATTGCAGAACGTAGAGAAAGTGATCTCAGAGCACTTCATTCCAGCACTTATGAATGGGAATCCACACAGTGTTAGAGCAGCTCGCAGTTGTTGTTGCAGCTCCTGTCCTTGACCTGTACCTGGCTAGCCTAGTCCCCACTGGAACCCAGGGAAGCCACTCACACTGCTAGATATACACAGAAATGCAGAATAACCCTCTCCTCATACAAATAATACGGACAGCCCACACACAAGCATACACACACACAATCCGCACAAACGCAACACCACTAACAATCCACATACATGCACACAACCCCACATGCAGCCTCTCACATGCAATTCCCCAAACAGCCCCCACACACTACCAAACACACAATGTGACATATCCATCCACACACAATTCCACAAGGTGCCCCCATACACAGCCCACATTCATATGTATCATACACAATACCATAAACTACTCATGAACATATACAATATAATAACTCATATACGCACAAATACAAAAGTACAAAGCAATTACAGTAAAAATAACACAAACAGATTACAGCAGCATACACACTTCAATTTAAAAAAAAATAGGACCGGCACGCTATGGGACATCACAATCCTATATCGGCACAGTGCTGCTAAAAGGTTGCCTACCCCTGCCCTAAATCATCCAGCATGCTGTTATATACCCTGAACTATTCAGCATGTTATTATATATCTTGAACCTTTCAGCATGCTATTATATATCTTAACCCCTTTAGGACACATGACGGAAATATTCCGTCATGATTCCCTTTAATTCCAGAAGTTGTGTCCTTAAGGGGTTAAACCATTCAGCATATTATATACCTTGAATCATTCAGCATGCTGTTATATACCCTGAACTAGTCAGCATATTATTATATACCCTGAACCATTCAGCATGCTATTACATACCCTGAACCATTCAGAATATTATTATTTGTGGTCTGGGCAATATTGCTGTAATGGTTAAATAACATATAATTAGTAATAAACATCATAGTTAATAACTAGTGATGTCCCGAACGGTTTGCGAATGGTTCGCAACAAACGGTTCGCCGCGAACGGTTCGCCGCGAATGGTTCGCCGCGGACTCTTCATTGAGTAAACTTTGACCCTGTACCTCACAGTCAGCAGACACATTCCAGCCAATCAGCAGCAGATCCTCCCTCCCAGACCCTACCACCTCCTGGACAGCATCCATTTTACATTCATTGTGAAGCTGCATTTTTAGTGAGCTGTCCAGGAGGTGGGAGGGTCTGGGAGGGAGGGTCTGCTGCTGATTGGCTGGAATGTGTCTGCTGACTGTGAGGTACAGGGTCAAAGTTTACTCAGTGATGAGTCCGTGGCGAACCGTTCGGGACATCACTATTAATAACACCAGTCGGTTGTGGTGTGTCGGAACCGACAAGGCAGTAGGCCTGTAATAAAGGCAGTAGGCCTTAGAGGGTGATGTGAATAAAGGGAGTGGAGGGAGGCAGTGGCATACTAAGGGGGGGGTGGGGGGGCGGTCCGCCCCGGGTGCCACCAGGGTGGGGGGTGCCATGACCAGCCCCGCCGCCCCCCCCCATGCTGCAGCCGCCCGAGCGCTCTGTAGAGAGCCTCAGGCGGCTGCAGCTTTGCCCGGGCGGTGCGTCCATGAGGACGGACCGCACCACCCGGGCGCAGCCTGAGGAGAGGGGCTGACAGGAGGGAAGCGCTCAGCGCTCAGAGCTCCCTCCTGTCACTCCCTCTGTTGTAGCGTGGCCGAGCCCTGTATAGTCCGCGGGTACAGGGAGCAGCTGTCTCCTGTACCCGGCCGGACTAACAGGAAGTGCACACAGAGTGTTCACTTCCTGTTAGTCGGCAGTACAAAACAGACTCCCTGCCATGGCTGGCTTCGACTTCCTAACTAAAGGAGGGTGAAGAGGAGAAAGAGGAAGAGAGAGGGGGAGAGGAGAAAGGAGGGGGAGAGGAGGAGAAAGGAGGGGGAGAGAGGATAAGGGGTGAGAAAGGAGGGTGAGAAGAGGAGAAAGGAGGGGGTGAGAAAAAGGAGAAAGAGGAGGGTGAGAAAAAGGAGAAAAGGAGGAGAAAGGAGGGGGGTGAGAGGAGAAAGGGGGGGTGAGAAGAGAAATTGGGAGGAGGAGAAGGAAATTGGAGCGGGAGGAGAGATTGACATTCATCACATACACACATTGCACCCCTTGCACACAGAAAAACACACAATGCCTTACACACACAGACACACATACACAAGCAATGCAACTGTTACACACAATGCATCCCTTACACACACAGACACATACAATGCATTCATTACACACACTCAATGCACCCCTTACACACATTCAATGCATCCCATACATACACAGAAACACACCTTGCAGCCCTTACACATACAAACACAATTTCACACAATGCATTCCTTACACACATATCAGGACATCCCTTACACACTCCACCCCCTGTGAACAAACTCATTGCTGGAACATGAAGGTGGACCCTGGGACCCAGACCATGAGCTGTGTAAAGGACCCCCAAAAATGGAGCTGCTTCCCGTTCTCCCAGAACATTGATTTTTGTGACCACAGTTACAAACCGCCTCCAGAGAGCCTGTTCTACACCAGACCAGTGGAGCCAGACTGCAGCTAGAGCCCATCATCATCCTCATCTGGTTGTAAGTAGGCAATCTAGTATATTATTCGTGGCACTAAGCTCTAATTTACCTCACATTAAAGAAACACTATAGTCCCCAGAACCACTTCAGCTTAATGTAGTGGTTCTGGTGTCTATAGCCTGTCCCTGCAGGCCTTTTAATGTAAACACGGCGGCACTGCAGCACTGGCGTTAGGTAACATGGCAAATCATATGGGTGGGGCAAACTTTACTGGGGCTGACAGCGGTTTTGCAAAGTTTACAAATTGTAAAAAAAAAGAAAGAAAACCTTTAAAAATGTTTACAGGTTTTTTGTTTTTTTTTTGGGTGGGGGGGGGGTGCCGAGCACAGGATCCGCCCCGGGTGCCAAATGCTCTAGGTATGCCCCTGGTGGGAGGGGTAACTTGCCAGACCAACCATGGTAAAGTGGGAGAGGATTGAATGCCCCCCCCAACAACTACAGGCCCACCCTTAAATATACCCTGAATCATTCAGCATGCTATTATATACCCTGAATCATTCAGCATGCTAATTTATACCCTGAACCATTCAGCATGCTATTATATACCCTGAATAATTCAGCATGTTATTACATACCCTGAACCAGTCAGCATATTATTATATACCCTGAATCATTCAGCATTTTAATATATACCCTAAATCATTCCGCATGTTAATATATACCCTGAACCATTCCGCATGTTAATATATACCCTGAACCACTCAGCATGCTATTATATACCCTGATCCACTCAGCATGCTATTATATACCCTGAACCATTCAGCATGTTATTACATACCCTGAACCATTCAGCATATTATTATATACCCTGAATCGTTCAGCATGTTATTATATACCCTGAACCACTCAGCATGTTATTATAAATCCTGGCCACTCAGCTCAGGGTGCACATGTTCTTTCTTGCTCATTATTTCAGTATATTTAGATGACTCCTGAATTCTCTATTCATCTGTATTTGCTTTAATAAAAGCTGATTATCTCCTTGCTGCAGTATAAATAGCAGCTTGATTACTGGTTTCAAATCGAATCATTACTGCTGCTAAATGGGCACATTGCTCATTATTTACTCCTATTAAAATGTAGCAAGCTATCCACCTACTGCTGGTAACCTAATGTTTTTTACACATCTACAGTATTCTGCATTTACAACGATATAACTCCTGTACAGGACTTGGTGGTAGCTTTCTGGATTATACCCTGACTATTAAGTATATGTATTGTCCCATACAGGACTAATAGTTTGTCTTACTATCATTTACATATATTAGTTATGTGACTCTTTCCCCAGTTTTTCTTGTGGTATTTTTATATTTTTTTAAACCTTATTATCATATATCCCTATCACTTATTACTTATTATGTACGGGTGATACTCAAAAAATTAGAATATCGTGCAAAAGTTCATTTATTTCAGTAAAGCAATGTAAAAGGGGAAACTAATATATGAGATAGATGCATTACATGCAAAGCAAGATAGTTCAAGCCGTGATTTGTCATAAGTGCGATGATTATGGCTTACAACTCATGAAAACCCCCAAATCTACAATCTCAGTAAATTAGAATATTGTGAAAAGGTGCAATATTCTAGGCTCACCGTTTACCACTCTAATCAGCTAAGTAAGCCATAACACCTGCAATGGGTTTCTGAGCCTTTAAATTGTCTCTCAGTCTGGTTCAGTAGGAATCACAATCATGGGGAAGACTGCTGACCTGACAGTTGTGCAGAAAACCAGCATTGACATCCTCCACAAGGAGGGAAAGCCTCAAAAGGTAATTGCGAAGGAAGTTGGATGTTCCCAAAGTGCTGTATCAAAGCCCATTAATAGAACGTTATGTGGAAGGGAAACGTGTGGAAGAAAAAGGTGCACAAGCAGCAGGGATGACCGCAGCCTGGAGAGGATTGTCAGGAAAAGGCCATTCAAAAGTGTTGGGGACTTTCACAAGCAGTGGACTGAGGCTGGAGTCAGTGCATCAAGAGCCACCACACACAGACGGATCCTGGACATGGGCTTCAGATATCGTATTCCTCTTGTCAACGTCAGAAGCGTCTTACCTGGGCTAAAGAAAAACAGACCTGGTCTGTTGCTCAGTGGTCCAAATTCCTCTTTTCTGATGAGAGCAACTTTTGCATATCATTTGGAAACCAAGGACCCAGAGTCTGGAGGAAGAATGGAGAGGCACACACTGCAAGATGCTTGAAGTCCAGTGTGAAGTTTCTACAGTCTGTGTTGATTTGGGGAGCCATGTCATCTGCTGGTGTTGGTCCACTGTGCTTCATTAAGTCCAGGGTCAACGCAGCCATCTACCAGGAGATTTTGGAGCACTTCATGCTTCCTTCCGCAGACGAGCTTTATGGGGATGCTGACTTCATTTTCCAGCAGGACTTGCACCTGCCCACACTGCCAAAAGCACCAAAGCCTGGTTCAATGACCGTGGGATTACTGTGCTTGATTGGCCAGCAAACTCGCCTGACCTAAACCCCATAGACAATCTATTGGACATTGCCAAGAGAAAGATGAGAGACATGAGACCGAACAATGCAGAAGAGCTGAAGGCCGTTATTGAAGCATCCTGGTCTTCCATAACACCTCAGTAGTGCCACAGGCTGATAGCTTCCATGCCAAGCTGCATTGAGGCAGTAATTGCTGAAAAAGGGGCCCAAACCAAGTACCATATGCATGCTTATACTTTTCAGAGGTCCGATATTGTTCTATGTACACTCCTTGTTTTATTGATTGCATGTAATATTCTAATTGTACATTTGGGGTTTTCATGAGCTGTAAGCCATAATCATTGCACTTATGACAAATCACAGCTTGAACTATCTTGCTTTGCATGTAATGCGTCTATCTCATATATTAGTTTCCCCTTTTACGTTGCATTACTGAAATAAATAAACTTTTGCACGATATTCTAATTTTTTGAGTATCACCTGTATATGTAGTCAATACATTGTTAAACACAGATCTACACACACCAGTCAAGCCATAAGACTTTTTCCACAGAAATCTCAAATTTCCAGTGATATTGCTACTGCAAGGGATTCTAGGTGGGCATATGCAGATTAGTTCAACAAATCATCTTTATATTTAAAGTTCCATAGAGGACTGAAATGTCGACACATTTTCTGGTGTATAATTGCACAATAAAACTTCAAGATTTATTTACAAAGTCCTGTGAGTGCATCTTCCTTCATACTTATATTGTGGCATAAGTGATTTGCATCCAGGCAAGGACAAGACTGGGAGAGTGAGTACTGCATCCACGTGTATGTATATGTATATATGTATATAGATATTTTAGCATCTTGTCTAATGGACTAATACATAGTATGCAATGATACCTTTTTTATTTTATTTTGGATTAACATAATACTTAAAAGGCAATCCTTAGAGAGTTTTCCTCCCTTCCTCAGGTCTGAAGCAAATATATATATAGTCAATAAAGTATTGTTTAGTAATGGAATAATGTACACATGATCCTCAACATTAAAAACCATCTGCCTAATATCGTATAGGCCACCTCGTGCTGCCAAATCAGCTCTGATGTGTCTAGGCATGAACTCCACCAGACTTCTGAATGTGCCCTGTGGTATCTGGTAATAGCAGCAGATCATTTAAGTTCTGCAAGTTTTGATGGGTTGTTCCAGCAAATCCCACACATGCTCATTCTGATTGAGGTCTGGGGTACTTGGAGGCAAGGGCAACACCTTGAACTGTTTATGTTCCTCAAACCATTCCTGAACATTTTTTGCAGGGTGTATTATCCTGCTGAAAGAGGTTAGTGCCATGAATGGGTGTACATTGTTTGCAACAATCTCTAGGTAAAACTGCAAATTTTAATTTACATTATATTCTTGAAAGATAACATCTTGCTAGCTTTCTGCCAATACCAGACTTTGTTTCACATGCTTTCATTGGTGGTTTCCTTTTTCATTATTGTGGGATTAGTGACACATACATATACAATGGTTGTGGCCATGGGTGGTGATATTCACTGCTATAGTTTTGGTAGTAGGCTGGGCATATTTTTCTGTGCAGTATTGTGTTGATGTGGACTGTGACAGTGGCAGTTTTAGAAGGGGGCAACGGGGCAATTGCCCCCTCTGAGAAATGTCCCCCACTCCCTGAACAAAGGTAAGAAGGGAGGGGGGATATAAAATGTAATATTTTTTTAACTAATAATACATTTTATTTGCTCCCAGCTGCCCCTCAAAACACAATACCCACTCACAGACAGCACTGCTCACTGCACCCCTCACACACACACTGCCCTACACATACACACACTCACTGACCCCTCAAAGATACACACATTGCCCCCATACACTCACTGCACCCCCCACACAAACTGCCCCATACACTCACTGCACCCCTCTCACACACACACACACACACACACACTTATTGCCCTCTCATACACTCACTGCACCCCTCACACACACACGCTGCACATGTCACACACACACTGCACCCACACACTGCACCCCTCACTCACACACACTGCCCTCCCATTCACTCACTTTATCTCACACACACACACACACACACACACACTGCACCCCTCACTCATACACACTGCCCTCCCATACACTCATTGCACCCCTCACACACACACTGCACCGCCAACAGACCCTGCACCCCTCACACACACACACTGCCCCAAACATACACACACTGCACCTATCACACACTACACCACTCATAGACACAAACAAACGGTATCCCTCACACACAATACACCCTGCATACACACACTGTATCCCTCTCACACACTACACCCCTCATACACACACTGTACACCTCACGCACACACACTACACCCCTCACACATTGCACCACACACACTACTGCCTCTGTCCCCTACTACATGCCCTAACACCTACCCCGAGAGACCCCAGGTAGGTTGTCAAACTATTCTTAAATGGTTTAACTACTTACTCTGGGAGGGTGCCTCGACACTCCTGGCACCATAACAACTACAATGAGCTGTAGTGGTTATTGTGCCTGAATTGTTTCTATAAATAACTATGTGCCCCTCCCGAGATTGGGTTCTGGATCCATCCCTGGGCTGTGATACATGCATAGCTGAAGGTTGAGGCAGCTGTTAGTGATATTCCATGCTTTAGATACCGTCAAGGAACTGCCCACTTCAGTATGGCGATGTGATGTTAATTATCCATTGATACAATTATGTTTGAGGCAGTAGGCAACAGTATTCAGTACTAAAGATGCTAATGAAGTGCAGTGGGGATCATACCTCTTATGAGCTATGTACCCTATTGGCAATAGAGAAAACAAGGTTATGGTTGCTGTGATATTCACATGAAGTGCATTGGATCCATTAAATGAGCTACTACTGATGGCCACAGTTTATAATTATAGGTATATTATATAGGCTATAGCTACAAATCACGTCAGACTAGCAATAGATTTTTTTTTTATTACTCATCAATATATGACATTAAACAGAGTGAATGGTACAAAACATACAATGTATAAAACCAGTAACGGACAACAGCACAATAAATATCCCGTTGATATTTTTATTGAATGTAAATCGTTTATTGAATAAAGCTTTCTTTAAAAAAATTACAAATAATACTTTCAAAGAGAGTTTAATTATTTTATTACTACCAAAGATTTAGTCCTTCCGAATACACAGATATGTCCCGTCTAGATTCCTAGACGCTCTGCCGAATCCTGTGTCTATCTTCTATTCCTACTCTCACCTCTGGTGCTCACCTTCAAGCCTTCTCTAGAACTGCAGCGTTCCTGTGGCATTCCCTTCCCTGCTCTGTTAGATTCTCACTCCATTCTTTCAAAAATAATTTAAAACTTACTTATTCTTGAAAGCCATATCAGCGAAACTGTTACGTTTGTAGAAATTAGATAGATTATTTTTAATTTTAGAGTATATTCCCCTTGTCACTTCACTAGTCTTCGTTTTGTAAGTCCATTGTACAAAGAGGCTTATTCACTAAACATCCATTGTAGTAATCGGACAAGTGAACTGAAAAACTGGAGGCAAATATAGCGAATCTAGACAAACAGCAAGGTTGAAAAATGTCTCCAAGTTTTCTTTAGCAATTCCTTTGTCATCTCTCCATGGTTTATATTTATATAAGAGTGTATATGATAAACATATACAGTGGGACCTCGGTTTACAAACGCTTCGGTTAACATAATTTTCTGTTTACAAATAAAATTTCCATTGAAAATAATGTCTTGGTTTACAATTTTTTTTTGCAATACAAAGCAACTTTCCCCAGGATGCATTGCACGTGGGAGGTTTATAGCACCGCCCCCTGCATGCTGGAGCCTGTGGGTAGCACATGGCATTGAGTGTGGAGATGTTGAAGCGGCTTTTGCATCGAGTTTTGGAGCCATTCTGTAAATTGTTTTCAATTGTTTTGGGACGTTTTGGTGCATTTCTCAAGCTGTGGAAAGGTAGGGAGCTGAGCTTTGTCGTTTGCATGCCTTTTTATTGTGTGTTCTGCATTGTGAGTTGGTTTCCATGCCAGCTCATTTTGACTTTTTTTCTGACCTCCAGAACGAATTAATTGGTTCTCAATGCATGCCTACAGGAAACCGTGTTTCGGTTTACAAATTTTTCGCAATAAGAAACGTCCTGGAGAACGCATTAAATTCGAAAACCAAGGTCCCACTGTAATATAACATGCCTCCAAACACATCATCTGGCAGATTGCCAATCTAGTAGTGTGTTCCTTAAGCTACTATTTTGCTTGAAAAGTTTAATTCCAGAAAGTACAGTCTGAAAAGTATTATTTTCTGTGGTCTTAGCAGTAAAAGTTTGCTCTAGTGAAGTTTGAAGGTGTGATAAATTGACACGACAGCTCATCCCAAATGCCCACCTGTTTAATCAGCATTACAGCCTGTTCATCTCCTCCAGAAAAATCCCTCTCTTAATTGTTCATGAGAGATCTGCACAGCGCATTCCTACCAGAGACAGCGGCCTTTATCACTATACACTTTAGCCTAATTTATGCAAACCTGACACTTTCAATAAATTGCTTCCTTCAGCTTTGGCTGTTTAGAATGCATTTTTATTTCTATTGCAGTAAAGATGAGTTTCATTTACTAAGAAATTGAATCCCTCGTGATTGACAGACAAATCTAATGCTGTCTACTGCTGGGACAGTTTTTTTTTTTCTTTCTGAGCCCAGAATATAAGAAGCTGAATTCACTCATTTGCCAAATACTGCACTTATTTCC